CGGTGCGTTGAGGAAGGGGGCGGCTCCGGGCAGGTGCGCTGGGGAGGTGGAGGAGAGCGTTTGGGGAAGAAAGGCTTGGGTCGGGTTTGGCGGAGAGGTGGTCTGGAGCAGCAAGGAGGCGCGAAGAAAACAAGGGCCCGTTAGATTGCTGGGGTGCCCTGCGGAAGAGCAGAAAAGTGGAGCCGGTGGAGAGGTGGCGTTTAGGGAAACCACTTCGACACCGCCTCTGCGCTGGCTTCGCTCTTCTGGGGGTGAGGAAGAGGCAGTGAGAGAAGGGGAGAGCGCTGGGGAGGTGGGACTGGGTGTGTGGTAGACGTGGCGGAGCAATCTGGCGTGTGGAAGTTGGTTATATCCCTGTGGTGGGAAGGGGGAAGGAGGCAGTTAAGGTAGGAGAAAGCGTGGACAGAAATAAGGGGGTGCAAGGGGATGTTAGAAGAAAGAGGGGGGTTGTAGAAGGACCAGGAAAGCAGTGGAGGTGAGGAAATGGAAGGAGAAACCCAGAGTATTCTAGGGTATAGGATTCATGAACTAACATAAGGGGATGAAGAATGACCCTTTGACAGTGCCTGTTGCTCTGTCAGCCAGAGTCCCCCATCACGTGTGGTACGTTTGTGAATTGGGTGCCAGAGCCAAACCTGTAGGTCCTTGCAAAGGGTGACAGCGTATCGGTCGGTGTGGGGCTCTCCGTGGCTGCACACAAGTCAGCTGAGTATGGAAGTCCTTTACGGAGATCTAGGCTTCTAAGTATTTTTCTTTCAGTTAAAACTTTTTGTTTTCCCTTTGGTGTGTCAAATGTTATCTTAATACATGTAAGCTTAAAGCGTTTGTAGTTTAAGAAAAATCTGAGAAGGAGCACTAGTCCCTTAAATCAAACCTTTGTCCATACGTAGGGAACGTAGCTGTAGGCTTTACAGCTGTACCCTGCCTACCACAGCTCCAGCCTGGAGGCACTGACCTGTCCTTGGGGCAGAAAGGTGATTAATTCTTGGCTACCTACGTCCTATAAATAGAAGCCTGGAAAGGCATAGCAGAAACCTAGCAGTCCCACACTGGTTTAATTTGTAGTTTATATTATCTACTCATAAAGTTGGGGCTATCTTTATGCTAGTGCTGGTCTTTTTTATGTATAAACGCTGAAGTACTTTTGTGCAAGGTGTAGCTGAGAAGTCAAGTTCAGATCACAGTAAGTAACTTGGTTACCTTTAGCAAGACCTTTGTGGTTAACCCTAACAGCATCCAGTCATAATATTTTCTTTTTGGAGTGTTTCGGGTCAAGATGCAGCATCACTTCCAGCTGTTTCAATCATTGTCTTCTATTCAGTGTGTTATGTCATGGGCAAAACCATAGGAAGAAGCCTGTTAAATGTGTTTTCAGAGTCTTTAGGCTGTTTCTGACTCACCTTTGTATATTGGAGCGTTAATGTGGAACCTGTTGTCTTAAACTGAGAAGAATTATTGGAGTAGCTGAAGATGAAGTTGTTTAGACTTGATGTAAGCTTCATTGCAGAGCTACCAGAGGATTTACATAGGTTAGCTTGCAGTTGTGGGAAAGAGATGAGATGTTATGTTTCACTTTTGAATTCATCTTTCCAGAGGCCTGTCTGGTTGTGTATTTGAGGTTAAATTGCCTGAGGTTTGGGGATTGTTTGTTTGCTGCTTTGTTTTTGAATAATTTACTACTTGTGGTTTGGTTTTTTTTCTTTTAAATGCTTCTTTAGTTTTAATAAGTCATTCTCTACCTCATTTAGACACTGAGGATGCCAGCGAAACTGACCTAGCAAAGCATGAGGAAGAGGACTTTGTAGAAATGAAAGAACAGTAAGTAACCCATTCTAATCAAAAGTAAGGTAATGTTCTGTTTATTTGGGTTTTTTTTTTTTTTTAAACTTTGCAAAGGTTTGGCCCAAGATTGGGGTTTTTAAGTGCCTAACCTAATGTAATAGCTAATGAGTCCATATACTTGTATTTCTTCTCTCCTTGCTTTCTCTGTTCTATTCAAGCAACTAAGCGCTGCTACTGTTTCAAACAAAGAAGTAGGTACGAGGTTCTGGGAGCAGCTGAGTATTGCTGCAAATGAACCCTGCTACAGACGGATCCTTCAAATAAAATAAAGGATCTACTTTATATAAGCAAGCAAAAAGCAAGATGCCAGTTTAAAACCCCTTAAACAATGGAATGCTAATAATTTCCAAGACAACAGGGTTTTTTGAGACTTGAAATAGTTTCCCTTGATGTTTACGTGTATTTTCAGTATTTTATGTTCTTGCTTACTGGCAGAACTTACGTGTTTTTATACAGGTCAGGAAGACTTGGCCTGGGTTAAACCACAGATATGTAAGAAAGGAAACGCAAGTTTGCAACAGCACCAGGAGTGGACTTTGGGATTTTTTATAATGTTAAGATCTACATGAGGAAATGCCTTTTGTTTTATAAGTAGGGAAATAGTACACAAATATTAAGACTTGGCAAAGTGGCAGAATGATTCTGTTGTAAAGTTTCTGGTGTCTGTAGATCTAAATGTCATTTTAGATTTTGACATTAAAAAAAAATTTAAAAATCATATTTTACCCTGAACTGTTCCCAAAATAATTGGTTTGGGTGCATTATAAAACCAATAGGGTGGCAGGGTTTTTAGACAGTGATAACCTTTCATTTGAATAATATTCTTTTAGTTGTTGCTTGTTTGTTTGCTTCCTGAAGTTCTTTTCAAAAGTTTTTAATTCCCTGCTAACACATTGTAACCTACCTAAGTAGATGGTGAAACAAATGATGTATGTTTGTTTTTCAAAGTAAACTGCATGCTCTCTGTATTTGCAGGATGTATCAGGACAAACTGGCATCTCTGAAGAGGCAGTTACAACAATTGCAGGAAGGTAAGCTTTGAAGGAGGGGAGAATTTTCAGCAGTTTTCAAAGGTCATAGAAGGATGAGGGTTTTGAAAGATGTAAGCGGCATCCTTCACTGAATGGTGGCTGTCAGTCACGCAGCTTAGTTAAAAATGTCAGCCACTTCCCATCCTTTTCCCCCTCTAAACACTCATTGTTAAGCCTCTGTGTGCTAAAGCATTTCTTAAAAGGAGTAGTTGGCTTTCTGAGAAAACGGGGAATGTGCTTATCAAAATAAACAAACTAGTACGGTAGTTTTCTGATTTCAGATATTAGAATTGGTGTATGGCTCCTTGAGAAAATTTAATACTTGGAAAACATAAAATTCCAGTGACAATCCACAATTTATTTCAACTAGGTACTCTTCAGGAATATCAGAAAAGAATGAAAAAGTTGGACCAGCAGTACAAAGAAAGGATACGAAATGCAGGTAAGCTGACTTTCTTTCCAAGATGCTGCATACAACTTAAAGTAATGGTTTTTATAACAACTGAAGAAAAATAATGGTAGCTCTGTCCTTTAGAGAAAAGGAACTTACTGGAGCAAAGGGGTTCTTCTGCTTCTGAGGGTACAGTGTAGGGTTTTTTGAGAATGCATGAAGTGTGAAGGGATCTGTCTTGGTTTTTAAATTTTTTTCCTTCAACATTGTTTACTGACTTTCTACTAAACACCAGTAAACAGTTTTAGTCTTCATTTGTGCGGAAAAAGCGCAAGTGAGAAAAAAATGTTTTGTTTTTATCTGGCACCATGTCTCGCCTACAGTCTCGCACTTTGGCTCGTTCTGTTGTGCAGCTTGTCTGGAACCTTCAGGTGCGCTGTTTCTTTCAGTTTGCAGGAATGGAAACTTAGGACTACGTGCTTTCCCAAAGATCTGTTTTGTGCCCTGGAACAACGAATACAGAGGGTTTGCTGCTGAAACTCTTCTCTGTAGCTGTGGCGCTGAATGGGCTGCCTTTACTTTGTGTTCTGGCACTCTCTTTCAGGAGTGAAGGCCCAAGTTAATTTTTAAAGTGCTCTAGCTCTCAGCCCTTCTGTGTAGCCTTTATTGTGTTACTGCAGAGAAATGGCTTGGAAATCAGATCTGTTGGCCTGCCCTTCCTCCTTCTTGTTTGTTCTCTTTCCAGTAGGTTCTTATCTCAGCTACTGAAGCAGAGCCTTTTATAAAAGCTATTATGTGGAATTAGGAAATGTAGCTGCTCTTCCTTTAGAAAAGTTGGCTGAATCCTGTAATGTCTGGTCTGTTATTCTGGGAAATATGGCAGAGGCGCAGTGGTGGTTGTATGATGACCAACGTACTCCAACCTTTGAGTAGTATAAACTGTGTCTTTCTAAAACTGCTTGGGATAGTAAAGGATTTGCTTGAGGAATTTAAGTGAATTGAACTACTTGTTAACAGCAATCTATCTTCTGAGATGAATTTCATGTACACTAGAGCTGCATTCTAATAATATTGGGTTGTTTTGATAAAGTTTAGACTGCAAACTTGTATTTCTGGCTGGCAAAGACCAGTGCTGCAGCAACGTACTTCTTCCACAGGAGGGCAGATGGTGATAACTTTCAATTTTACGATTAAAAAATCCAACTGCCTAGTACTACAGGAAGAATGGTCTTTTATGTTTATCCTTCCCAAGCTGGGGGTTTGGGGTTTTTTTTGAGAATTCACAGATATTAGAGCAACAGTTTAGATTTACCTGTATCTGATTAGCTCTGTAATACTGCTTCCGTGCTCAACTGGTAGAGTGCTTTGCAAACGAAAGGTTTCATTTTTATTGGGCCATTATCATCTTTGGTTTCTATTTTTTTTTTTTTTTAAATTTTTTGGGGGGGAAAAAAAGACACAGTAATACAGTGTTGCTACTACAGTCTTCTCCAAAACATATTTGAAGCCTGTGATCTTTACAGAATTTTTTACTATTTCGAGTATTGCTAAAGCTGAATATGCTGGTGAAATATGGTGACTTGAGGACTGATCAGGTGCCTTAGTTGGCTTTTCTTGGCACTATTTTGAGTAAAAACTTTGGTTTGGGTGTTAGGTCCTCCAGGAAACCCAAGAAAGGTCCCATCCTGCTTCATTTCAAGTTGTTAGGAATTGGACAGACATCAGTAGCAGGACTATTTCACACCCAGAAATCCATTTGCCTCATCCATAGGTCTGACTTGGACTAATCATTGCCATGAACTTAACCTGCAGTGATACGTAACCATTTCTGTGCTTGTTTTCTCAGGCACAAACAGCCTGAAATCAGACACATGTCGAGTAGATGAATCTTCTAACAGCTCCAGAATTATTTTTGAATGAGTCATTGCTGAAATTCATGAAGATGGCTTAAACTGTGAATTTTTGCCAGCCATACATTCAGCTACGTGTTTCAAGCTTCTGTCTGGGAAGTTTGTACCTAGTATTAATTGACTATAATTAAACTGGAAGAAAGATGGACTACATGCTTAGTACTGCTCGGAATAGTAGGTGAACTGACTAGTATGGAATACTGCTGTGTAAGCTTTGCAAATCTACTTGAAAATTTGTAGGAAACTTCAATTAACAGTATATTTTTGTGGGATTTTTTCATAGTGACTGTATTTTCAGCATAAAACTGGAAAGGGATAGTAGAGTTTGGGTGAGTACGTACACTGTTTAGTTCACTGCCTCTCTTGGCTGCAATATTCGATGACTTAAAATGTTAGGGAATTCATTTTGTGCATCTTTTGAAGATAATAAATTAAGTGTCTCTTCTCTTTCAGAACTGTTCCTCCAGCTGGAAGTAAGTACTCTTAATTTATCAAAGTATATATTAACTAGATGGAAGACGTATAAACCTCCTGTTTCATCAACTAGTGCTTGTTTTCCCAGAAGGCTTAAAGAAATTTTCTTCCTCCAGCTAGCATTATTACACTTGAGATGTAGTACAGGCTACTGTTGGTATTATTTGAAGTAACTTCTGGACTTTGTAATTAAAATTGAATTTGCTCATGGGCTGCTGTATGCTGGCTGTGCATTTGGCTTGTTTAAAAAGCTTGTTTAAGGTGGTAAATGATAGTGCTGTTTATAAATCTGAAGAGCTCTCTGCTAGGGACTTGATATGGTATGCAACATGAAAATGTTTTTTAAAAATAATTAATTCTTTTGCCACTATAGTACTGCTTGCTTAGTCATTTTTAAGTGGTTTTCTGTTGGTTATGAATATTGATAATCTTTAGAACTGGCTACAGTTTTGAACTGAAAAACTAATCAATGCCGCAGTTGAAAGAAGCTGTTGTGATATCATTAACTTGAGTCATTGGTTTCTTAGTTAACGTTTTTGTTGTTTTGGTTTGCATTAGACAGATCAGGTGGAAAAAAATTATGTCAAGGAAAAGAAGGCAGCAGCAAAGGAGTTTGAAGATAAGAAAATTGAGCTCAAGGAAAACTTGATTGCAGAGTTGGAGGAGAAAAAGAAGATGATTGAGAATGAAAAGCTAACCATGGAATTAACAGGAGGTAAAAACAAGATAGGCATTTGTCTTTTCTAAGCAGTAGCAGGGTGGATAAGAGAAATAAGATATAAAGGTAGCAATGCTGGTTTATACAGGCAGCTAGTGTGAAGGCTTTAAAGCTTTCTGAGTGCCAACAGGTGTAGAACACAAATTGGTGGTCTTTTAATGGAGAAAGCAGTTCATAATAAAATTCAGTGACCTGAATTACTAATGGGTGAATCAAAATAGTGCCAGTGAAGCAGCAGAGTGGATAGGCTTTCTTGTATGCAGAGAAAAGGGCTGCTTTAGTTCCTGTGATCTGGCAATAAAACTATTGAGATATGCCACAATACTGACCTAACTGGCAGTGCCAGGTTGTAAACTGTGTCCTTTTATTCTCCAGTAACAGGTAATCAAGACGTTGGAGAAAGGCAAAAAATAAAGGTTGAAATATGCTACTTAAATCCAGAAAAATAGATTTGTGAGCTACGTTTGTCTCCAGACTCTGGAAAATGGACATTAAATGGACAGATTTCTTTCATGAGACCAGTTGGTACCCTTGGTGTCTTGGCAATGCTCTTTGCAGTAATTGACACAGTGGGGCTAAGCAGAGGGGTAATTGGCCTCCTTAACAAATTGTCTTGCTGTGATACTGAACCAAAAGTCTGATGTGATTTCCTCACTTCACAGACAGATAACATTGGTTGTGTTGCTGAGGCCTGTCTGTGAGTTACGACTTTTATATCTTCCTTGCATAGTGTCTACGGAAGTTTTGTAAGCTAATAATTTAATTAGTGTTCAGAAGCAACAATTAAAACCTATTTGGACATAGTCAAGAGTGCTCTTGGCTTCTTACAAACTGTTAGGGCTAATCTGGTCTGGAAAACAGCTTGAGCTATGCTGTTTCCCTGATGTCTTTTTTTTTTTTTTTTTTTTTTTTTTTTTTCAATTATGAAGTCTAGTCTGATCTTACAAACTGTGCCTTAGCCTTAACTTTCCTGTTGTTATCCTATGCTTGTGCCTGTTCACTACTAAGTTGGGATACAGTACTAATCTTGTAAGCAGATTTTCATTAGTGGGTCAGGATCTGTCTAGATCTTAGCTTTGGAAGTCTCCATACCAATGTTCTAGGAGTCTGAAGGAATCCAGTTTCTCTATCAGTGGGACAGCTGTTAACATCAGGATTTGGATTTGCAGAGTTAAAGGGAGAGTGAGGAGGAGTAAAAAGAAGTCTTCAGTAGTCCGATTTGGGGACCAGAGATATGTGTCCCCCCATTGTTCTGTGTCCTGAAGAGACTTGTTTCATCAAATACTCTAACAAAAAGCATGTAACTGTGGAGAAGAGATCCATTCCGTGTGTGTTAGCCCTCCTCTATCTCCTTCCTTCCAGACTAGCAGAACTGTAATGTGATTTCTTTAGAAGTAATGGATTTCATTGTGAACATTTGCTGGAAGCTAAGAAATAAGAATACTGGAACTGATGTAGACTCGATGGTTTTCAAAACATATGGAAGTTCAGTGTGTATGAGGAGACAAGTTAGCAACCTTGAGGAATAGGTTTCTCTGGGAGTGCTGGGAGGGTTGCACTTTCATTAGGTTGCAATAGTGGCCTCCTGTTCTGGAGCGTTGTACAGTGTGGTTCTTAACTATTAACCCTTATGCAAGACTTTCAGGATAAATCAGTTGGTGCTTTAGCAGCTCTTCAAAACTTCCTTTATTCTCTCTCGAGAATCTTACAAGTTCTTCACATGTTTAAATATAAGACTCTCAAACTGCTTTTTTTTCCTGGAAACTTGTTTGGTGTTGACTTTCAGCTGACTTGTCACAATTTTAAGTTACGGGATGCTAATAAGATAGAGAGAAGAAAATTGATCTCTGCCTGTTTCGCATTTTAAGCAATATAGATACATCTGAGACCACTCATTTTAAACTAATTTTTAAAAAGGAGAAAGAGCCTTCTTGACTCGGCTGCATATAGCCTTGAGTAAGTGCTTCAAAACCCTTTTCTGAGGCTCTTGTAAATCAGTCTTAACAAGTGAGAAGAATAGCTTATGTTCAACACAGTAAGTTAGGTTTCTAGTGTCTGCAGGGCTATTAATGTTCAGTGTCTTTCAAATTCAGCTTTGAATCCTAGAGATAAGGTTTCCTTTGGCGTATCCTCAGTGGGTGGCACTTCATTTTTTTTTTTTTTTTTTTTTTTTTAAAAGCTTTTATTCTCTTGATGTGCAGCATGGTCATCCTTGTTCACCCTTGAGATAAGGAGAAAAGTAATTTGGTGTATTTTGAACATGCATAGCTGCTCAAGGTTTTAACGTCTAGAGGGAGCCAAAGAGGCTTCATAGGCTCAAGTGCTACCTAGGATGTGATTCAGGTGTATTCGGAGATGAGCAAATAGTTCTCAGCACGTAGAAAGAGAGGTGAGGTGATGTGTTTAGCATTTAAGATGTCATCTCTTAGTTGCCAGTTCAAGGTACCTTCATAAACTAAGGAATGATTTGTGAGAGTTTGAGTAAAGTAGTTCAGTTAAGACTACCTGTAGACATTTGGACAAACTAATTTCAGATAATTACTTAGTGATGAGACTTGTGTTTCATTTCAAACAGATTTTTTTCTTTTTCCCCAGTGCGTATGCTACAATTTATTTCCTGTCAACTGCTGCTCTGCATGTTATTAATTAGATTCATTTCATTAATCATAACGTGAAACATTTTTAGATAATCTGAATTTAAATGCTATTTGTGTTTAAAATTACTCCAGCAGACTTGTATCAGTCTTGAAGGCAGTAATTATCTGTATTCCTTTGACAAAGCTATTTTTCCAGCTTGAAGATAAGAAAGAGAGCAATTGATTTGTAGCTGATGTTTTACATGCTATTAACTATCCAAGTTTTGTTAGCAAAGAACTCCATGAACTTTGCCTTTTAAATGATATGTTCAAAAGCTGATAGCGATAGCATTAAAGAAATTTGCCCTGAATCCTTGCAGCATCATTGTCCTTGTTATCTGTACCTGACGGAGCTGTAAAATGCCCCCAAACCAACTGTGCCACTTCCAGCCAACCAAATCTGTAACCATGGCATCACAACGCTGTTACTGAGCAGTGACCTAGTATGAAAGAGAACTTGTATTCACTGTCAGCAGTTCCAGCTTGGATGCTGGAAGATATCACAAAAATACCCAATTTTCTGTATGAAAGAGGAAAGATTATTTTCCTTCTGCCCTGTGTAGAAAGCTGCTGCTTCTTACTCCTTTCCCTTTGGTCTTACCAGCTCTCCAACTTCATTACTCTACAGATTCAATGGAAGTGAAGCCTATTATGACAAGGAAGCTGAGGCGACGACCAAATGATCCAGTTCCTATCCCAGACAAGAGGAGGAAACCTGCCCCTGATATCCTTTTACAGAGTCATTGGAGGGCTATTGTATTTGAGGCCAGCATGCTACCTGTATCTATGTTGTTTCCTACGGGAAGGAAAATGAAATGAGGTGCTAGGGTCAGGTTTTAATCTAGGAAATACTGAAGTACAGTTTGTCATCTATAATGTGTGATAAACGCATATAACGCAACCAGTCTTTGGAGATCCCTCGGTATCCTAACTTAAACTTCAGTGTCATGAGATAACTTATTTGGTTTTTTTTTTTTGTCAGTGAGAATAGTTTGAATTCTTCAGGCAATTTTTTTCAAAAGGAAAAACTTGAGAAGAATGTTACATATAAACGCTGAGGTAATTGATTCCGTAGATAGTGCATGGCTTTTTACGTGAGCCAAAGCTTTTCCCATTTCATGATGTGACAAAACATTTGCTAGAAAGATCATATTTGTCGTATCAAACTAGTTTTTCCATTCCTGATAAAGGCTTCAGATCTCTAATCCAGAGAGATGCATAGCAAAAGCAAGGAGTGCTAGATTTGTTCTTTGAATAAAAAAAAAAAAAGAAAATCCATCTTGTTTTTATATACCACAAGAGAGAGAAAACATGTATATATAATACTTCTGTTCTGCCTCGTTGCATGTTTCTTATAATTAAAATGTTCCGTGGCTTCTGGAAATACATTTTTAGCTCCTCTGTGATGATAGGCACTTTTTCTATTTGTGTATTAAATTCACCTGAAAAGGAAGGCAATGATATTTGCTTTGCAGAGGTTTATTAGATTCCGAACTTGTATGGCTTAAATCAGATTAAAAAAACTTATCTCTTGACTTCTGAGTGACTCACATTTTCTGAAGGCAATATCAAACCTTGAACTTGTAGAGTTCATGTGGGATGGTCACAAGCATCTCCAGTTTTAATTAACCTTTTTCTGGTTGGAGATTCTGTTCAGTCTTTCAGGAAGAAAAAACCCTATTTATTAGTGGCTCTATCTCATCCAAAATAAATGAGTTTCATAGTGAACATGACCTACTAATTGAGCATAATACAGCAGCCACAGTATGAAACTCTGTCTGCCTTTCCTTACTGGGGAGAGGATTAAAGTCTATCAGAGCCAAAATCCTTAAAATGCAGCCTAGCAATTGTTAACTTCGGCTTAATACTTGGAATACTTTTGACTTGGTTAAAGCTGGAGAAGGGTGTCTGCTGCTTTGGGTATTCCTTCTGTGTACTTGGGTTTTTCTGGTGTGGAAATGACAGGAGCAGTAGAAATGGGAAGTAGGAAGATGCGACTGTGAAACTATGCAAAATGATAGTGGATTTCTGATGAGGCTAAAATACATTAACTTCTGTGTTCTGAGATTTTGGTTTTGTTTTCAGGTGAATGATAGGCTCTTATTTATCACCATCCACACAAGGATGTGTTTTGTGCCTCTGGCTTCATTTTCTGGTTCGCTTTTGAGTTTTTTTTTGTTGGCTTTCCCCTTTTCTCACTATCTCTCTATTCCTGCCTACTGAGTTGCAAAATAACGAGTTTCTTTTCCTAGGACTGGGTGGGATTTGGCTTAATGGTACAAAATCTGAAGTGAGTCTGTTGTGTTTCAGCTCCCAGATTGTTCTCTACAGAAATGCAAGATGAAAAACACTGAAAACGCTAGTGCTTGATGCCTCCACGAAGTAAATGTCAATGCGCTAAAGGTTTTTCATTGATGGTTATGTCTGAATAAGTTAAAATGATTTTGCACTCTATTTGCTGCTAAATATGAGGCTCTGTGGAGATGGACTTGTATTAATTCATATGACAAAAAATGCTGAAGTATGACACACATTAAAACCTTATGCAACTTTACAGAAACCTTTTGGCTTATGTTTAGTTAAGTAAAATGTCATTGACCTTTAATTTTTAGCCTTGATTGCCAAGAGCTTATAGGAACCTTAATTCTGGATACCTCAGCTAAATTATTTGTTGACTGATGAGCAAATAATGGAGGACCTGAGAACACTGAATAAGGTAGGGATTATTGCTTGACTTGTATTTCTTTGTTTTAAAGTGAAAGCTAATGCTTCCCCTGAAGAGAACAGAGCTCTCTTTTATGTGCCTTTCTGAGATGTGGGACTATTTCATCCCAGTAGGCTTTCTGAAGTAACACAATAAAAGCTTTAGCAAGATGCTATCTCCTCCCTTTTATTTTAATAGGTTTAATTAACCTAATTAAAATGGCTGTCATCTAAAAATGTTACCTTTTGTCTGAACCGAGTGATGAGCTATCTTAAGGAGTTTCTTTCTTCCTCCGCAGGGCTGAACAGATGTTAACACCTCTTTCTGTCAGATCACAGGCTGCCGCTGTTTTAGGCCTTAATGTGTGGGGTGGTGTTTTTTAGTTTTGGTTCACTGTTGCAATACTTCAGCAAACTGGATAGGGTGCAGTATGTATGTTTATAGTTTTTCTAGATTTGAACGTATTGCTTTCTTGCTAAGCACTTTAAGGCTTATCTAATTTTTTTAATAGAGGCTGTTTGTTAAGGCTTTTGAGGATGGTAGTGGAGCATTTTTTGGTGCCAGCTGTTGAAATGTCTCTAATGATTTATCTCCTGTATTTTGTGTACCTTGAGAAATTTTGGATCATGTTAAAAAATACGGTGTGTTAGATAGTTTGGTTTTGACTTGGTTTAGTGGATTATCTGAATGCTCTGAAGTTCAGTTTGCAGACCTTTTGTATCATGATACTGATTATCTACACTTTGGCTATTTATAGCATGCTGTTCTGCTTATGTGTTATGCCACTTAACAGTACATTTTTTAAAAAAAAAAAGTGGAGTATGGAAAGTAAGACTGTCTGAAATTATTCCTGCAAACTTCTGTGGCTCATGTCAGATCTCTAATACGTCTTTGCTCTCTTTCCATGTAGCTTAAATCACCCAAGAGACCAGGTGAGTTAACAGTTGCATTGGCACTTGTTCACAGTCATGCTGTTTTGAACAGAGAATTATGCTGTAGACTTGTTGACTGAACAACTGCTGACTGTGTAATTTGACTGTATAATTGTTTTGACTGTGTAATTGCTGTTCTTTGGGTAGCTACTGTGGCGAATGGGTGCTGTGTGGAGTCTCTTCATCTGGTCTGCAGTTTGTCAGGGATGGGAAGGGAGGCATATGCGTATTTAGTGGCTGAAACATTTGGGCATGGGACAACCTAACCGTGTAAAGAGGTTTTTCCATTATATTCAGATCCATCTGGGCAGCTTGGCTGCTTGTCAGGTAGATGGAGGGATTGAGAACTTACTGCTTTATGCCTTCAGCTCTCTAGATGTCTGTACACTTTATTTCAAGACAGAGTGGTGCTAACTTGCCTAAGTAATTCTGACCCTATTAAACTACTTTACTATAGATTAGAATTAAAGGAAAATCAAGGACATGTATCACCTACCTACCAACATTTTTTTTTCCAGATAATTGTTATATTTCAGTGAATACTGTAATTTATATACTCAAGGCAGGACATGTATCACCTACCTACCAACATTTTTTTTTTTTTCAGATAATTGTTATATTTCAGTGAATACTATAATTTATATACTCAAGGCACAGGTTGAATTATTCGTCCCAATAGAGAATGTTTTTCTGATGGAAACATGAGTTTGTAGCTTTCTCTGCTTAATATTTCTGCTTAATAGGACCTTATTAATTGCAATTCTGCAGTCGGATGTGCTCCTGTGTGGTAGAAACATGCTGGTCTTAAACACAGTCTTTATCCTGTTTTCAGCCTCTCCCTCCTCTCCTGAACACCTCCCAGCTACACCAGCAGAGTCTCCAGCACAGCGGTTTGAAGCCCGGATAGAAGATGGAAAACTCTACTATGACAAGAGATGGTAAGTCCTGGCAAATTTCTGTTTTAATCACTCTGAGCGTTCTGTAGTGAGGAGACAAACACTGCAGAGAGAAATTGCTTTGATAAAAGAATTTGAGGACAAAATGGTTTTGGGCAGAGGTTAGTCACTTCCTCGAAGGCTAATCATTGCAACTTCGGTAAATCAGAAGTGATAATGGAGTGTTTAGACATCATAGACTTTCAGGATTAACTACTGGCTTGAATAAAAGGAGACTTAAATCTTCTCCATGAAGTCAGTAATGCACACTGTGACACCTGGGAAACATTTTTGTCAAGCCTAGTGTTAAGTAAGAGAGCCACCAGCAGATGCAGTGTGATGTAACCGTGAAGCTGGTCAGCTAGGACACGGATACTCCGTGATTGCAGGGACAGTGGTGTCGGCAGTATTCCCAGTCCTGGTGTTCAGTTTTGTCGAACACTAGCCCATCGTTCCACAAGGTGGCGGGAGAAATGTTGTGCACCAGATGAGCAGGATGAAAAATGTTTCTAATAAATCCAAATAACCTTTAAAGATCAAACCCACATGGGAGAAGCAACTTCAGAATTGCTGATTTGATTTAGCTCTGTTAAGTTTTATGGGCATGTAGCTCTGCAAGCCTCGCAGAACACAAGGAAAATATTGAATTTTGCGGAGAAATCTTAGTAGGTCTTAAACTTAATCTGTGAGACATGCAAAACTGGATAATCAAGGAGGCGATCTAGTACTCCTTGAGCAGAAAGCAATTTGCAAGTCATATGCTTATTTGTAGCCTACTTTGGTGTTCTGGTGGCTCAAAATAACAAGTGACGAGGTTGTAATTTTATCACTGAAAATGATAGGTGTGAAGCTTGTTTTCTACACCACAGCCATCTCATACAGTTGGTCAGTTTTTCCTTCTGCTAGTCTTCTGACAGTGCAGTTTCATTGAGGGTTCAATGTATACAACTCTGATAAAAGCTGCTGCCTGCAGCTTAAAATTCCGTGAAGCGTAAAGCATACATGAACTAAACGGGCTACTTGTCACTTCACAAATTCATGAAGTTGGTTTTTTGCTTTCATTTTTTGTGTGTATGTAAAGTGACTGTCCTCTAGGATATATTTGGATGAATAAACTGTTCTTCAGAATTTTTAAGCATGTGGAGTATTGTAAAGTGTTGCAGAAATAAACAAAAAACAACCCCAAGGAAAGATGGAACCTGGAGTAATCTGTCAGTAAAGCTCCCAAGCTCCCACCAAATTTAAACCTAGGAGAGCTTCAGTGAGCCCAGGTGAATCTCTCGAGAGCACCAGCTCTCTCTGAAAGATATCTAGTTGGACACAAAATACTATCAGATATTTTCATCTTGCTGAATTCAATTGTCATGGGGGTCTCACCGTCAGGAATTCCAGCAGTTGCCTTTCTTGTCTTCCTTGTTCTTATGCTGTTTTAAGATGAGTATTTTACAATTTTTTTTTGCTGTAATAATCCTGCTTAGATCTTTTGATTGATAGTAATAGTACTTGCACAAAGCAGCTGGTATTTTAAAATGATGAAGTAACTCTTGATAGTGGGAGGGTAATTTTTTCTGAGGTGTATTAAGACTGTAGCTGCTGGCATGCACCAGAAATAATAAAACTGACAGCTCAGGAGTGACTACTTTCTCTGTTTCCTGAGAGCAGCCATGAAGGGCCATTATCTCAAAATAGAGAATGTTTAAGGCTAGTAATGGGCTCCCTGAGGTCTTGCAGAGACATCTCACAAACATATCTCCAAAATGGAGACTTTGTATAGAGTTTCAGGTGGATGTGGAATTAGACTTCAGTTTCTTATCCTCAGTCAATTTGGTCCATCCCCCCCGTCAGATCCTAAAATACAGTTCACTGTAAAACAACCATCTTTTTGCTCTTAGCTTTGTGTACAATAACGCAGAGTGATTTCTTTCAATCTTCTGATGGAGATGCAGTTGAAAATCTTGTCCTTTCAGCAAAATATTTTGTAGCAGAAAGTGGAATTATTTCTGGTTGCCTCAGTTGTTTGTATTGTGTATTTTACTTACTGCAAGAGTTGTTTGGCGCTTTCCTTCCCTTGAGAGCCAGCTTAAATTCCATTGTGTTTTTCATTGAAGTATTTTCCTCAGTTCTACCCCTCTGTTCCCATGTGGGTATATAAGCCTGGCAAAAGGCTGACATGAGCATGTAACTGAGATGTACCAGGCTGCTGTGCCATCAGCTGACCTGTCTCTCTGCGTGCGTGGAGCATGAGGCAGTTCAGACAACTCTTCAATGAGAAAGTGCTGAACTAGCCAGGTAGCTTGCCTTTTCTGTGCGCAGCTAACAGATTTACTGATGGGCAGTAACTTGTGATGTGAAATCCAGGGGCTGAAGCCAGCTTCATGTGTGTCATTAGCTTTGGAATTCACTGATAATGAAAAACTAGAAGAAATATCTTTGAGTGGAAAAATTATTTCATTATCTGTGCGGGCACAGGTATTACTTGAGAGCTGTCATTTGCGGCGGTATCTTCTGCACTCAGAAGTTTGTGCACTGATTGTATCAAGATCATCAATTCTCCTTGCTTAAGCAGTCACGGCATGGCAGGACACTGCTGGACTGAGATATTTTTATGTCTTAGTGAGGTCTCGTTTGTAGTGGCTTATGCTGTTCCTTTATATCAACTAATGATCATTTGAGCTCAGTTAACTGAGATTTTTGGCTCAGACCATTGCTGCTATTACATTGCCCTGGAGCCCACTGTCATACTTTCTGTTAAAATGAGGGAGAAAGAATAATGGTCGGGAATAAGTGTCTCAAGGTTGCAGAATTTGAGGGGTTTTTTTTCGTTACCTCGCCCAGCCTGCTGGTAATTAGTATGTTTGGAAGGCAGAAAGCTGACACTATCATTCTTGTTACTGGCAAGCAGTGTGAAAATTCTGGGTACATGAGCCAGGAGGAAGAGATTATGGAATAAACTATTGGAAGACTTCCATATTTACAGTATGGTTATTGTAGAAATAACTGTAAAGTTTATGGAAATCCATGCATTTTGACAAATGGCTGTCAGCCACTCAGGCTGCAGGGAGCTGCGTAGTGAGTCGCTGCTGAGGGAATCTCTGTGCAGCGATTCTGCAACTTGGATTGCCCGGTTAAATATGAAGCACATCACGTTTAGGGTAAAGGTGGAAATATAATTACGCTTTTATAACTATAAAGCATTTTAGTGCTCTCTTGATTAAGATTACTTACAAATAATCAGTTCCAGTATTATTAGTTCTGCCCACGGAACTCTCCTAGGCAGAATAAACAGAAACTGGGGAGTTTTGTCTGGCACGCTTTTGCAGCAATGTGGTCTGCAAAGAAGGCAAGACCATGAAATCAAGCAATTCAGAGTTATGAATTTTGAAGTTTTAACTGTTTTATACAAAATGCACTAAGAAAGATATATAGCATGACTAAAATATGAACTAAAAAGGGAAAAAATGTATACGCTTAGACAAGGCCTCCTTATGGCACGTATATACAGCTTACAGAGTCAGTTACCCATCACTTACCATTTTGGGTATTTTCACAAAATAAGACCATATTAGAAATTTGAGGTCTCTGTTTAAACAATATATAGACTGCACCGATTGAGTACAGTTCACTTTGGTGCACTAGTAATTTTGCGTTGGGGAATGTGAATAACTTCTTAGTATCTGTGATTTGCTGTGTCACATTTTATCAGGCATAATGTGAAGTTGCCTTCTAAAATCCATCCTGTGTCTGAAATGTGAAAGGCTAGTTTGATTGTCTTGAAACATGGGCTTATTGTCACAGTGTTCTCCTGTCTTGTGGCTTCTTTCAGATGTGAAATCTGTTTTCATCAATCCGCGTACAGAAATGAATGTGAATTGAGAGAGCTTCATGCATTCTGAAGCATCATTTAAATGCAAAGCGTGCGTGTAGAATCAGACCACCCGCTACGCTGGTGAAGATGGGGAAAGTGGTGTGGAAAGAAAGACAGACTTCATATTTACTCTATCCGCATTCTTGTAGAATCCCAGCTTTATCAATCTTACTGCTGTTTCTTTTCTCAGTCTTTGGACAGCTAATGGTTTCATGTGTTTCTTTTTTTAATTTTTGCAGGTACCACAAGAGCCAGGCTATTTACCTGGAGTCTAAAGAGAACACTAAGATCAGCTGTGTGATCAGTTCCGTGGGCGCCAATGAGGTAGTGGGCTGCTTTGTTCTTCATGGGGATGGGGGAATCCGTGGGTCGGTGTGGGCAGGTAGATGACTATCTAGTAATGAAAAAGAGAAAATCAGTATTGCTTTCGGAAAATATGTAGTTGTCTGGTGTCTAAAGAAGCTGAATCCAAGATAAAACTGAGTTGAGAGATCTCTTGAGATAGATCTGAGATGGGAAGAGACTTGCTGTGTTTCTAAAGAGTGATCCTACATTTTGCAAGCAGTAGTTTGGCAGGCAGGAAAAATGGGGAGAACTGACATGTTGTTTCTTACTGGCACTGTATTCCTAAGTTCCATTTCCATCATTTCAAGAACATACATACAGTTATTAGTAATATGAAATTAAAAAAAAATAAAAAATCCCAGTGGGAACCCAGAAGAGAAGGAGGAAAAAATTTTGTCACCAAATTTAGTTAAGGGGAGAAAATTGTTCCTGCTAACCTGAGTACATATGTTGTGAAGTAAGCTGGCAGCATTCATCACCTACGTGGGAGATGGTGCAGGCGAGTCATTTGTCTGAGCCAATTTCCTTGTGGCTAATGATTAAGGCTTAGAGAAGCAGGTGAAGAGGGGCGCGTGCCTAAGATTGATGTGGATCTTGCTGCAACATAAGCTGAGGGCAAAGGGAGCAGTTTATTCTTTGCTTGCAGATTCCAGGCACTTCAAGGAAAGAAATGATAGACTTGAATGCACTTCTCTTCAATCAGCTAATAAAGTAACTTTAATTTGTTTTGGCAGTTAAGGGGAAATATTTTATTTTCAACAAAATGAGTTGCATATGGGAGATGCTTTGTATCACAACTGTTCTCCTTGCAATAACAGTTGTTACGCTCAACGGTTGCTTATTTAGATAAAGTAGTAGCAGCGTGCTAACAGATGCATTAAAAATATAGTAGTGCTAATTTGATTAAAATTATTACTGTTAAAACATCAAAACTCAATCTTTTGGGAGCACCTTACTTGAAACCTGGAGGAAATGCAGTCCGTTAATTATAATTGCATGAATTCCACTTTAAAGTGAAACAATAGGTTTCCTTTTAGTTTTGTGGGGGTTTTCTGAGAGGCTGGGGAGGAGGAGGCATGGCAGTTGTTTGCCCTGTGATGGTTCCTTGCAACAATATAAAGCCAAGGGAGATAAATACTTAACAGAATACTGAAATGAGAAGGCATTCTCTTGGGAGTACAATGTGCGCGTCTCAGATTTCATCAGACATTCAAAAGCATGGTTGCCAAACTAGGATCGCACTGGGTCCTGCTTGAATTTGCAAGCTAGAAGGCAGACCTAGATTTGAGGTCTCTCTAATTGTAGACTGGAGTCAAAAGTTGATAGCATTTCTAAAGGAAGTCAAGTTATTCGAAGGAACCTTACTGCAAATATTTACACAGAGTCTCACCATCAGCATTTCCGCTAATGCTTAAAGTGAAAAGTAACTATTATGGCATAGTTACCTTCATGTGGCCAGGGAAAGGAAGCAGTTAACAGCGTATCAGAGGCCCCTCTGTTCAGACAAAGGTCTAAATCAGTTTTCTTGAATTGGATTTTAACTTGAATTTTCTAATCGGCTATGGGCCTTTCCAACACAGAGTCTGAGCTGTGATGATCCTTCTTAAAAAACAAACCAAACCTATCTTCCCAGGCTCAAATTCTTTAAAACCTGGTGACGTGTTTAGATTCAATCATTTGCGTTTTGACAACAATAAACTTCAGTTTGTGCAGGAAAGGTGGGTTTTTTTGTTTTTTTATTCCCATGAGTCTATTCAGCAGTCTCTGTTTGGAAGTTGGAAAAAGGAGGGAGCTTATTCTTTCACAGTCTAGGAATAAAAGAAATTCAGAGATGGAATCATGGAATGTTTTGGGTTGGAAGGGACCCCTAGAGGTCATAGTCTAAACCTACCCTGGTTTAGTTTAAAACCATTACCCCTTGTCCTGTCACAGCTGGCCCTACTAAAAAGATTTTCCCCATCTTTCCTATAGGCCCCCTTTAAGTACTGAAAGGCCGCAATCAGGTCTCCCCGCAGCCTCCTCTTCTCCAGGCTGAACAACCCCAACTCTCCCAGCCTGTCCTCATAGGAGAGGTGCTCCAGCCCTCGGATCATTTTAGTAGCCCTCCTCTGGCCCCGCTCCAACAGTTCCATGTCCTTCTTGTGCTGAGAGCTCCAGAGCTGGATCCAGTGCTCCAGGTGAGCGCTCACCAGAGTAGAGGGGCAGGATCACCTCCCTCGAACTGCTGGCCACGCTTCTCTTGATGCAGGCCAGGGTAGGGTTGGCCACCTGGGCTGCCAGCACACATTGCCGGCTCACGTCCAGCTTTTTGTCCATCAGTACCCCCAAGTCCCTCTCGGCAGGGCTGTTCTTGATCCTTTCTTCCCCCAGCCTGTATTGATACCGGGAGTTACCCCAACCCAGGTGCAGGACCTTGCACTTGGTGATGAATTTGGCTGTTTCTATTCACCATCTTCAGTTCTTTAAAATGAATAGATGTTCTCTTCTGATTGCAAAATCAGTTCAGAATATGTCTTGATGCTTTTGTGTTTATGAATGATGCAGCACATTTTATTGCTAATAAGTGATTTCACTGTTGTGGTCACTTAAAACTGAATTTCAATTTTCCTCCAAATGGAACTTAATAAAGCAGTTATAACTTTAGCAAAACAAATATACCATTCCATCATTTTGTGACAGAACATACAACTGTACATGTTTGGTGTTCTGTACAGTTGCCTAGAGTTTGTAGATTTAAGAATGCTGCTGGTTAGTAAACCATACCAAGTTCTTAGAAATGTTGCAGTGGAGAGATGATTATCAATGAACCTGGATTCTGATTTTTCTAAAGAAACAACTGAAGTACAAATTCAGGCAAAGACTACACTTATTTTATATTGAGACCTTCTGCTAATAAAGTGAATGTATAGTTAAAATAATAGAGTTAAGTCAGTCTACCATGCCAGGCCTGTAGCTAATATGGTATCTAAAAAAAACCCCAAAAACTTTGGATAAATTATACGCCAACACTAACTTTATAGTCCTTTGCAGTAGGCAATATTGGACTTGTGTCCTAAAATACTCTAGTACTAAGAGCTAGATAACTTCTTTTCCATGCATTTATTTAAATATGTTTAAATGCATTAGAATGATAAAATGCTGAGGAGTTTAAAGTACAGGTATTTGGGTCTAAACTTCTTGAAAGTGGTTTTTATTTTTTAAAAATTCTGAATGGCTGCCTCCGTGGAAGCAATTTGTCCTTTGAAACACACTGTGTATCAGCCAGTTAGGTGAGTGCTTCCATGCAGGTCTTTAAAAAAGAGGACCTTTTATCTGCAGATACAATTTATTTAATACATTGTGAGAAATGCTTCGCTGAACAAAATCAGAATAAGCTTTTCATTTGACTAATAGTTACTTGCCTGGGCAAATCCCAGGAGAGATAATTTTATGATCTGTGGATCTAGAGAGACTTATTCTTGATTAGGTAAAGCTTAATGCCAGAGTTCTGTTGCAAACTGTAGCAGAAGGAAACTTCCTTTCCTGGTGATGCTTGGGAAGAGTAATTTTTCTTGATGACTGCTTTGAGCAGGAAGTTAGGGTGGTAAAGTTAGAAACCTTATTTTGTGTTCTACTTGGGTTGCAAATGCTTAATGTGGGGAAGAAGGGCTTAAGCCCTGAGTGCACCCTGAGTAACCGGGTGTTCAGATCTGGCAGTAAGAATACTTGGACTTATTTGTCAGTGTGTTGCTTACTGTGGATTTTCCCTTTTTCTCCCCAATATATCTCCCTGCCTCTTTTTTTTTTTTATTTCATGCAGATCTGGGTGAGGAAAACCAGC